TTCTCTCGATGAAAGCAAGAGTAAGAATAGGTACGTGGAATGTCCATACAATGTACGAGACTTGGAAGGCTGCCCAGGCAGCCAAAGAGATGCGAAGATTTGGCTTAGAAGTACTGGGTATCTGCGAAAGCAAATGGAATGGACGTGGATTGAAAGCTTTGTCAACTGGAGAGCCAATAATCTACTCCGGTCACCCAGACGACAGCCACAAACACACTGGTAGAGTGGCTATCATGATGTCACCAGTGGCAACCAAAGCCCTAATGCAGTAGGGGACCAATTTCATCCTGCAGGATCATGACAGCAAGATTCAACTCCAAAGGAAGGAAGGTCACAATTATCCAGTGAGATGCACAATGCCAAAAACAACGTGGAACAAGAGAAGAAGGAAGACTTTTATAGACAACTACAAATAGTTATGGAAAGCATTTCAAATGGTGACATCAAAATCCTCATGGGAGATATGAATGCCAAAATGGGAACAGATAATACAGGAAGAGAACTCATCATGGGTCGAGATGCTCTGGCTCGGAGAAATGAATGAAAACGGAGAACTATTCGTAGACTTCTGCTCATTCAACGATTTGGTGATCGCAGGGAGCGTGTACAAACACAAGGATATACACAAGGCAACATGGATTTCACCTGATGGACATACTACAAACCAAATAGATTTCATATCAATCTCAAGGAAGTGGAGACGCAGCCTGCTGGATACAAAGTTGAGAAGGGGAGCAGATGTGGGCTCAGACCATCATCTAGTTCAAGGAACCTTCAAGGTGAAGCTGAAATCCATGAAAACAAATGGAGACAGGCCACTGTAATTCAAGTTCAACATTCAGAAACTGAAGGACAAAACTACAAGAGATGCCTTCGCTACAGATATCAGTGCACAGTCGGAGATACTACGTGGCATCACGGAGAAAACCTGCGTGGAAGAACATTGGAATGTTCTAAGAAACGTGTACAAATGTTCTAGGGAGAAAGAAGAGGCAAGACAAGACAAGGAATGGCTCTCAACGGACACCTACCTGGAAGCTAATCGAGGAGAGGAGGATGGTGAAAGAGAAGACTCAATGCAAAGACGGCATCCCTCCCGAAGCACTGAAGACAGCCCCAGAGATTACGGCAGATGTTTTTACTCCATTACTGCAAAACGTTTGGAAAGAAGGAATGGTGCCTACGGATTGGAAGAAGGGCTACCTCGTCAAACTGCCAAAGAAGGGCGACTTAGGCCTGTGCAAGAACTGACGAGGAGTCATGCTGTTGTCCATCCTGGAGAGAATAAAGGATGCACTGGATACAGAACTCCACCAACCTGAAACAAGCTGGATTCATGGAAGACGAACAGTGTGCTGTTCAAATTATGACTCAACGAATCGTTATCATTGAACAAAGCATAGAATGGCAGTTAAATGTCTCTCTACCTCAACTTCGTCGACTTCGAAAAGGCCTTCGACAGACAGCATTGACCGAGAAGTAATTCAGAAACTACTTCAACATTATGGCGTACCTAAAATCTCTATCAGCCTCATTCAGCAGCTAGCTAGATGACAGTGCCACGTCTCAAGTGACCCACAACGGGAAACTCAGAGAGGCGTTCAAAGTGCATACAGGAGTAAGACAAGGCTGCCTATTATCACTGATGATATTCTTAATTGTGGTGGACTGGATTATGCATCAGACTGTTGGGGGCGAGGAGTCAGGAATATTCTGGACCACCGATAGGAAGACTCTAGAAGATCTGGATTTCGCAGAAGATATATGTCTAATGTCACACAAACTCGAAGACTTGCGAGCGAAAACCAATAATCTTGCTGAAGAGGCAACGAAGACAGGACTACAGGTAAACAGAGAGACGACGGAGGTGATGAAGATAACCAACGAACCACAACAACGACAACAAGCAGCGTCAATCACCATCAACGGGAGAGATTTAAATGAGGTTACTTCCTTCACTTATCTGAGAAGCATCGTTTCAACTACAGGCAGTCGGAACGGATGAAGATGTCAAAGCCGGTCAGAATCGGAAAGGTAAGATACTCCTTCATCAACCTGAAACCAGTTTGGAAATCTACACTCAGCATAAGGAACAAGATTCGTATTTTCAACACAAATGTCAAGTCGGTTAGTTCTTCAATACGGGTTACAAACTTTCACGGCGTGTTACGAAAAGGATTTCCAACAGCCTGTTGTAGACTTTCATCAACAGCTGCCACATTCGCTGGCTGGCTCCATATTGAAGATCGAATGGCTGGCCAGAAAGAATAAGCAACAGGAAACTCCGGCTGGGAACAAACCAACAGGCGAGAGCCGATCGCTCAACAAATATGTAGGAGAAAGTGGAGATGGATCGGGAATACATTGAGGAGGCCGTCGAATGAAATCGCACGCCAGACCCTCGAGTGGAATCCCGATGGGAAGTGACGAGTGGGTCGTCAGTGCGAGGGTGATATGGAGGAGATTGTGTGAGGAAGAGATGAGAGAGTTTGGTCAATCGTGGACCCAGCTGAAGAGGACGGCGGAAAACAGAAGAAAGTGGAGATGTGTTGTTGAAGCCCTATATTTCACTCGGAACGCAAGTGAATAATAATAATATGTAACAAAATGCTGAAACCTTGTCTGGAATGTGGAAAACATCATGAGTTCATATTTGAAGAAAACCTTATTTTCACTTACTAATTAATTTAAACTGTGATGGACTATTTTCACGCCACATTGGGGATCAATACAAACTACTAGCGCAGTATGGACCTCTTAATCAAGAGGCTCCATTGAAGGAAATTTCAAAATTATAGTATTTCACGTTGGATTATCAGTGAATAAATGAGACTGGTTTACAAAAAGTTTCGTAAGCTGGTTCTACCTTTTAGACATGTTTAATTTCTTAGAGTAAGCACACTTAACTTCCTGCTAACAATGTTTAGTTGTTATTTGCTAAAAATATTTTAATCGTATATATAGCAAAGAAAAACTAATGAGAATAGAGTCTAGTTTGATATTCAGTAGAATAGGAAAAAGTCTGAATACTGAAAGCACTAGCTTCATATTTCCTTACAATTATTTCAGGAAGTCAGAATAGTTTAGTAGTTTCTGCTCACAGATTTCTGTGAAGATTTTTTTATTCTGATTAAAAGAGCATTCTACCAGCATTTGCACGCTTCACTTGTTTATCTGTCAATCAGAACACATTGAACTCAAAACATTTTGTTACAAATTATTCATTCGTGAACGAAATCTTTATAAACCCTAACTGCATCTCATTTGTTATTTGTTTGAAGATATGGCCGCCTTAACATCTGATTAATAGATGAATAAATACGGCTGGATTTTTAAAGTTACAGTAACGACGCCACAAGATTTTATTATTCATTGCAGTTTTAGTCATATACCACTGTTCCTTGAAAAATACCAACTTCATACAGACCATTTTTGAATGGGAAAATTATAAGGGTTATCACGAAAACTCATTCAGCGTTTTTAAAATAATAATTAAACAAAGTTTATACGATTTCTAAGTATCTGCCACGGAACAGACTTTATTCAGTTAGCAATTCAATATAAATTACTGAATAAGTGGTTTGAACTTTACATGTAATAAAGGAAATTGGACTTACAAAATCAATTTTGTTCTATCTCAATACTTCCTCATCATATTACCACATTCTGAGAATGTGTCTACGTAGTATAGTTAACTGTGATAGTGTGAATTGATACATTTTTCCATGTTTCAGTGTTTGCTCCTACTGTCAGATAATTTCCTGCATTATGAAACATCATAATCTGAAGTAGAAGTCTGTGTTTTTGGGTTTCCATTCTTCACACAACATATCTAAAGTCATAATCTATGGTTAAACTTGTTGCCACATGTAGATAAACCAGTATCTACTGGGAGACAGCTATGATGAAAATGTAAATCTTCCAACATTTTTCACATTTAGTTTAAAAGCTACGCGAAGCTGGGTATACTTTTTGCCTACCATGATACATCCTTATCAGAGTAGCTTTTGATGGCAGTACATTCATTGTGCATTATACGATAATGTGTAATGATGGCAGTATTTTCAAAATGATGAGCAACTTTAAATGTTCCTCGACAAAATTCAACTTCCAACATTCATCTACTCACATTCACTTATAGAGAAAAATAGGATTCTACAATATTCAAATTATACCTAACTATTTAATATCAGAATAAAAATACGTTTTAGAAAAACTGTTTATTGATAGTTCTATATTTTATAAACCATGAAAAGGTCAGTGGGTACAATCTATTTCTGTTTTTAGATAAGAAATGTGTTACATGTGCTCATCACTGAGTGTATGTGAATGGATAATTTTATGCTATTATTCTTATTCTGAGATGATTGTACACTGAAATGGTGATGCCCTAACTCTTTAAGCTCAAGAAATACGTTTAAAGATAGTAAACTTGCAAACACGTCATTTTACAAAACTTCATATTACTATTGTCATTTAAAGTTTTCCGTGTTTCAGATTGTCAACAATTCTATCTGTAAGCGCCTAACTATTCCGTCATGAAATACTGAAAGCAAATTTATTCATTCTTAGAAAGGATTGAAGGAAAAAACCTAACTGACCAATCTAAGTCAGATAGATTTTATAACTGAGTTAATAATGGGAACGTCTATGGGTACAATTCGGTGGGTCAATCAAGAATGTAAATTACAGTGAACTTCAAAGACATGCTAAAAATGACTTTAATTTTTTTTCCGATATTTGACATATGTGCAACTGGATTTATTTCTTCCCAAACTTTTAAACATTACTAAATAGTAAGACCATTACTTAAACCCTAAATATTTCTTTTCTTATAACCGGACTAAAATTCGCTATTCAGATTCTCTTGTTTCAAAGTTATAGTTTAAGAAAATAATAAAAAATGTGTGCACAAAGAAGGAAGAGAACCTTTAAACTATTTTGCACATAAAAGTTTCTTAAAAGATAAACAAAAGGATGGTGCTGAAGTATGAACTTACCCTAAAATTTCCACCTGCCCCGTCGTCCAACTCCAGTGTGTAACGATCAATAGGTATAGATGATGTTGACTGCCATACAAGAGTTATTACATTCCGTTCAGAAATACATTCATCTACAAGAAAAACTGGTGCAGCTGGAACTGTAATAAAAAAGTTTAAAAATAAAATTAAAAAAAGATAAACACGGAAGAGAAGAATTCTATAGATTTATTTTATTTAAACGGTTTATATAAAACGGACTACTGAAAAGTTTTGTAGAATTGTTGAAAATGCATAGGAGGAATAATGAGAATTTTCATGACAAGCAAATATTGGAATAGTTTACTGGTTATTTCTCTGATTTCAGTATGTAGTGACCAAAATAAATAAAAACTTTTCCTTAAGAATGAAGTTACACCTTGCTGATGAGTACGTTCAGGCAAAATCGTTGTTTTTTAAAAAGCTTTTATTCCAGTATACAACCCCTAATTAAAGCTGAATCATCGTAAGCAGCTGGGACATGGTGCACAGCCTGATAACATCGTTCCATACACTATCGATATGTGTATTTTAATCAACACACTTTGAAAAAACAAGAAAGTTACTTCTCATCCGATATCTAATCACACCTGAGGAAGTATTTGTCTTCAATCCGTTGAATGAAAGTATCACTTCAACAGTGACAGCTCATCATTTTAAAGGGATCAAGTAAATAATCACTGCCTAAGAAATATAATGAAAGTAGGTTTTTCACCATTTAGCAAGCTCACTGACCATTCAGCCACTGGGACTCAGCTCAATGGTCAACCCATGAATTTTAACTCCTACTAATTCGTGATTTTTAGCTCAACCACCAAACAATGTCATCAGTAAGCATTTTTCCTCACTGCCAACAAAATGAACACCACTGGTCATGTCTTCTCAGTAGAACTCCAGGAAACTCCGTCATGTAGCCAATTACTAGCGAAATCCGGTGGATGCGTATTCCCAAACTAAGAAGAAACAGCTGTCCAGTACTCCGTGGTTTTCAATAGTTCTCTAACTGATGTCAATCCATGGTCAAACTTGAACAACAAATCAAATGTCTACATATCAACTTTTGAAAAATAGAATGATATAATTTTTCACTGCAAATCTGGCCTTTCTTTCTTTACTGAAACTTTTCTATTCTAGTTTAAATTTTATTTGAATGCTGAACACTTTTAATTAACTTTATAACTATGGAGACAGAAGGGAAGTTTATTTTAAAAGAAAAATAATACTCCTTGCAATCTCTAGCTGAAAATAACTTCTAGAAAGTATTTCACTCAAAGTAATCAGTTTAATGGATAATGAATATGCATATTGATGCAACTTTATATGATATAAAAAAAATTAACAAATACAATATATCCGGTTGTATCCATAAGATGAGTAATGAAGATATGCATGAGTGAATAAATTTATGCATTAGCATGATTTACTTATAAACATAAGATACTACAACTATAAATATTAAACTACTGAATAAATATCGCTGAAATGTGTATTACATGTATATTTGATAAATAAAACTCAAGTTACATAACATCATTCGCAATGTATGTTAACATGTTTCTCATGGAAACTCAATTTATCAGTGTCTGGAGACAAGGAATGCCCGATAGAACGAAATTCTTAAATATAGATACTTCAAGAGATACATTAGAAGCAAACAATTTTCAGAATTGCTTATTTGGTTGACACCTGTTCAGTGGTGGATTTACAGCTGCCTCAGTTACGGAAATGAGTCAGTCAAAGTTGACTTTTCTAGTGATATCTTTGAGCATAAAGAATATATGCATATGCATACATACTGAATCAGTGCTATGTTTTAATCACTTGCCAACATGAATTTTGGAAATAAGGAAAACCTAAGAAAACTGCTAGATTCAACTACATCAAATTTCAAATTACTAAATCACAAATGATAATGAATAGTAGTTCTTCTGTGCAATAATGCCCTTTAGACAGGTAAACGTAAACCGGTGAATTCTAACAGTGTGGCTGCACGGTAACGTCTAAGCTATAGTTCTGATAAGCCCTGGACTTGATCTTACATTGCATTTTGGAACGATTTGTTGTTAAATGTAAAAATTGGAAATGGTATTTCAATAATTCGTTGTTTTCCGAGCTTCATTAGTTAATACCTGTTTTTAGAAAGAACTTCTCTGAAATCAAGCTATACATTATAAATTACTATAATGGAGAATAGATTCCACTTATTTTTGTAATTTATAACTACCTTCTTTTGTCCAGAACAGAACTAGAAAATCTCACCATTAATTTGATGTTGATAAATTATACATAAAGATTATTTTGCAGAAATACTTACTATTTCAGTCAAAGCCTAGGACTGAGTCAGAACTGGTTCTTTCGTAAACTCAACATTAAGAAAAAACAAAAATTCATAATCACTAGTCTCAAATAATGAAGTAATTTGGCGATGGGTTCAGCAGTGACGGGTGCAGTGCTGCAAATATCTACAAACCTAATTCACAACCTGTATGGCGATGCCATATGCCAGTTAATTTACTGAAGCACATGAAGCGGAAGAAAGCCTAAGACAAGACTGCCTACTATCACTGATGACACTTCTGGCTATGGTGAACCAGATCAAACGGCACACCGTGGGGAGTGAGAAGACAAACTCACTGTGAACTGACGAAAAGGTTTTAGAAGTTCTGGATTTTTTAGATTATTTAATTCCTATGTCACAAAATTTAGAATATCTGCAGGCAAAAATCAACAAGTTGGCAGAGGTGTATATGGGGAAGACACAACTGACAAAGACATCCAGCCAATTAAAACTGGCGCCAATCACCGTCAATGGGAGATATCTGAAGAAAGTCGCCTCTTTGACTAAACTAACCCAGGCAGAATCATTCCAACTACAGGACAGCAGCACGAATGAGAGTATCACAGCCTAAAAACACTTGGAAAGCTTAGAAGACACTGATTACTCTGATGTTACTGCGGAGATCTTCAGTACTTAGCACAAGGAAAAAGATTCAAATTTTCGGCGACATCTGACGACTCTAAGATCAGCCTCTATCGGTATTTTAAGTAAATGCACCTAAATATTTCCGTGTTCGGAAATAAACATTATCTTCCTCTCAAAAGTTTTTGCTATTTTTATCAACTGATATAACATAGTGAATCTTGAAATTTCTACAATGCTTTCTTAATTAACAGATATCTGTTTGAGTGCTCTTCAACAAGCAAAGCCTTCTTCTTCTTCTCAATCACAGTGATACTAACGAGGCCAACAAGGAAAATTAACTCTAAAAACAAAAACAAAATATGTGACTCTTTATAAATACAGTAGCTAGTTCCCATCAACCTTCATACAAATCACAAAAATAGAATGAAAAACTACAATCTGAAACATACCATCGTTAATTTTTTGATTGATAAGTTGAAAATATTCAGATCTTTTCATATCTAAAAAAAACGGAAAAAACGAAAAAAAGATGTAAGAGGCAACATTCAAAAATGATCAGTGTATAAATGAAGTCAGATATTTTTTAAAAATTTGCATGAGCTTATTGTTTTGATTCATTGTGATGGGAGATGAGTTGTTTTTGGAATAAACCACTGCTGTGTATTCTAAAATGTCTCTCTATTTAATCATATATGCATTGTTACTACTGGCGTAGATTTTCGTCCTATTTAGGAAGAAAAGCAGTGATGGATTAAATAAGATAATGAGATTTAAATCCTTCTAAATATAAATTATCTAATTACAACTGTTGTTTTTTATTTTGATTAAGTTTATTATACGTGTTAGTACCTTTGAAAAATGGGATAATGAAAAATAGATTCACCCACTGATTTCAATAAAAACTAGAAATTTTCAATGTAACCGGGAGTTTCAACCAGTGATGATACGTACATAACCAGGCTTGAAAAGCCTACTTAATGAAAGATGCAAGAGTGAAACATTTGAAGATGACTAGATTTATATGCTATCGAATGTGAAATAATTTTGTAAGCAAACCTATTTTATGCAAAAATTACAAAAGCAGCCTAAAATTTCTACTGTAAATATAATCATAGTGATTTCTGAAAATATTTGGCCCGCACTTATATCTTTCCTTACACTCATTCATGTATCAACCTCGTGTAGTAATACTTCATTTTCGAAATAAAATTATGTAAAGTTGCAAGTGTTTAAAACTGTAGTAAATGTAGTAAATCCACTAATGTATGTGAAAAATGTCATTTTCTGTATATATGTATGTATAGTAATGGGTAAATACACCTTTGTGTGATTAAGACAATAGACAAAACTAGTGAAGTGCGTCATTAGATGTTGTTTTTAATTCAGTAGTGAAGCTTAGTGATAAACTGATCGACAAACTTAAGTCTATCAGGCTCACATCATTACAAGTACTTATGTATTAACATTACAGTAATGACCCGAAGAATATTCGTAATTCATGTCAATGCTATAATGAAGGCAGAGCAATGCTTGAGAGAATTAAACAACTCTTGTTTCTGTCTGTGGCATTTATCTGGTCACTTGTCTTATGATATGAACATCCATCTCTGAATATTTTCCAGTGAATACATTTGAAGTAACATACTAAAGCTTGTGTTAAGAAATAACATTAGTTATTTGGTTGATAGTGACTAGAAGATGAATCCTGGAAATGCATTTCTTCTCACTTAGGACTCGTCATTACACGTATCTGCATCCACACTGAAGGATGTTGAACCTACTAGCCTGGTGAATAAAGTTGTGACATGATCAGTGCTGCTTTCCAAACTCAGTGATAACTTGTGGGTCACTCAATGGCGACGCAGACACATCCATATGACGAGACCAGGGCCGCAGTGCGCGTTCTGAATTCTACTGTTATTGTTGACCGACCAAATAATATCATGTTAACCATGAGGCATTGTGCAAACATTCTTACTCGTATCTGACCTGCCAGTAGACACCAAGTAATTCTTTTCTATAAAAACAATCGACGACAAATTCAAAATCAGTTATTTCAACTTTAAATTTCTATAAGTTTCCGTGAACAGCAAATTCTAAGTAACTGGCTAAAACGGAAATAATCCTGGTATTTACGTAAATTTAGTTTTTCATGTGCTCAACAATAGGTCTACATTTAGGCACAGTTAAAATATTTCAATTATAACATTTAAGGAAACAGAAAGGTACAAGTAATATTAATATATAGAGCTCATAAACAGAGTATATATCCTGGGTGTGGTTTTTTCTTGTAACGGCATGGTTAACAAACATAGTATTAGGACATTGTGTAACTACTAAAACTACAGTAGTTTTCTTAGCAGAATTATGTTATGTTTAACCTTTTTTATCTCAATGAATTCTTCAAAATTTAATTATGACTAAATAAATAGTGTTGAAAACGTCAATAAAAATTATAATTGTTCCGTTAATGACTACACAGTCATTGTATGTTAACAAGTTGCGCAGCAACCACTTTTAAAAGTTATGCGTTGCCCAGTGTTGTTGTTAATCTCTTCAGTGAACTCAGAAATATTTCCAAATCTTGTTTTGATTGGTGGCGACTAGCCGTAGAATCCAGGATGCGCACTTCGTTCTATTTAGGACTAGTCATCCGGATGTATCTGTATCCCCAGTCAGTGACATTGTTTCCATTGAAACTTGGACCCTGGAACCATCGTCTCAAAAACCAAACTGCTTGATTCACTAGGCCATTAGATCACCAGAGACGTCTATTGTAGAGCGGGTATCAGTTATTATTCTGTTCTTACTAACATAATCAGTCACACGAAATTGGAAATAAAATAAAAAAGAAAATTGCTAAATCTTCGCTGTTTAGGACATTTAGAATAAACTTCATTAATTTCTTGTACTGTAAATCTTTTTAAAACTTCATTCAAGGAATAGTTTGGGTTAGTTTAGCTAAAATGGATAGTTGAACACTAACATCAGAAAGTTGTAATGTTCACTCAAGTGTTGATTGTCACCAACATCCATAAAAAAGCATCAGATCATAAAGTAACAAATTATTTGAACTACTTATGAAAAACGTGTGTCCATTACTTTTTTGATTCCCACTATCATCATGTTATTCACTCGTGTTCAAACAACTAAAAACTAAATTTTTCACCACCAAGTTTTAGTTTGGTGCTACAGTAACTTCATGTCATCATAAAAACATTTGTTATATGGTGATCATGATGTGTAGGACTTGGAATTCATTTTCATCAGCTCGTGTCCCTCACATTACCGTGCTTTGTCCTTTTCTTTCTCTCTTTTTCTTGCTTATCGTTTTTGCTTATGACGACAACAATTTTGTTTAATATGCTGATGACCTGACAATTTCCAAAGTTGTTACTTCCTAAACGGATTATTCCAAAATGAAAGGCGTTTTGTCAAAAGTAGCTAGTGGTTCTTACCGAATAGCCTAGGTTTAATCCTTCAAAATGCCAGAAAGTTAACTCCACTTTCAATAACACTACGTATTACTTAGATGAGTGGTTAAATACTATTCAGAACAACTATTAGTGATGACTGGCCATTCCAATGAGATCTACAAACCAAGCATCTGATCAAGAATTGGGTGGTTTAAATTGATTCAGATCTCCTGACTGACTGACTGATTTCAACATAGAACGTTTGCACCGATGTGCAGCAGTCCCAGTCGCTGCACTTTACTTAGCACACGAAGCAACAGAAGAAAGTAAAAAGAAATGCGAAACAGAGACAGTAAACAGAGGTATGATGCAAAACGAATAGTAATATTGAAGAGCTATATAGTTTTGTTGGATATTATAAGTCTGAAGGAATGGTTTCATCTACGCGATTGAGAACGATTTTGAGCCATATCAACAAGTGTCTTCAACCATTGGTTTTTACCGCTCAAGGACCTTAACCAAGAAGTCTACATCTTCCTACGTGGCTTAAAATAACTTTTATGAATTTCATTGACTGATGAAGCCATGTTTAGGTTTGACCGCCAGTGGCTGTTTCCCAACCTAACCATATGTCAGATAACATTGCCCGTCGAGGAAGGAGATGGCTAGGTATATGTAACACATATCCTAATCGTCACGGTCGGTGTAACTTCACAGCCTCGTCTATTGATTTCCCCTCCCTACCAAGCAGTGGACGCCTAACCTCACTAGTGATAACCCTATTATACCAATTCAGATCTGCAGGCTGAGTCAAAGCAGATACACTACTAAACGAATGAAACGGCCGTCCGGTGTCTAGATCACTTTAAACTGGGTAGCAAGCGCTACTGGTTGATGTGAGTGATATACGACTACTCTAAATCAATCAGTAGTACTTGGTTTTATGCAAATATATTTGCTTTTTTGATTACCATTTATGCTATCAAGTGGATCGCGTAGTGCGATCTGAATAATCTCGATTTCCAAAATAAACTGTGGTGAAACTTCACTTCCTTGTGCAGATTGCAAATTAATTTGCAAACTGAGAATTAAGAAGACAGTTGCAGCGAAGAAAGCGACGAAGTCATCATCTAGGTTGCACATTCGTGTATTTATATCAAATGGATGGGAAAGTTCTAGAATAATTTCCGGTTGAGTTAAATTAATAAAATTACAATTAGGAATTAAAATACCATAATAAACAGGGGGACGAATAATAACTTAATAACTCCTATGACCCATTGTGTATATTCCGTAAACTGAGAATTCGACTTAACTGCACTTTCAAATGGAAACTAGACTTCTATGAACTGATTCGTCTTGATGAAACTTTTAGTAGAAGGGGTGCTGATGTAGAAGTAGTAGAAGTGTTAGGCATAGAGTTACTAGTATACTTTGCAACAGCAAATTAAGGGCTGCTGTTGTTGTCCTCAGTGTTGTGTTTCTCTCAATCGTCTTACGTTTGTTGTTAATGATTAATTGAATTATCATTATTGCAGATATATTGATTTCGTGATGAATTCTTCCTTAACAAATTAGTCCAAAGAGAATATTAAATGCAAGATATTACATAGTATGCTGAGAATTCCACACTTCGTTAAACATGTCACTTGGAGTAAAGATATTATTATGTTTACTATTATTAAATCTAAAAAACATACAGATTCAGAGAGTCAATAAAATCCAGTCACTCCATCAGAAGGGTAATAGAAATTTCTTATGACAGAAGATTTAATACTTGATACAGAGGTCATCACAATGTCAATAATGATTTTAGTCAAGACAGAACAGAATGTTCGTGTTTAAAGGGAAAATCAGCTCTGATGAAATATGTCTCATATATAAACAAAATCTATTTAACGTAGGTAACAACAGAAATAGTCTTCCTGATGAGATATGTATTTGTGTGGTAAATAGACTACCAAAAGGCTAGATATAATCTTTTATTTGGTTGAATGGACATATTTTGTGCACGTATTTTGATATCGTAAATTATTACAGTCTCAGTATTTTTTGTGTATCAATCTTGCGTTTGTCTTGTTTACTCATTCTAGTTTTAAAGAGTGATTCATGTTGTTCAAATGAATTCCTCTCCTGTCTAAATCGTGTCCCACTGCAATTGTGCATTCATTGTTGTCATAATTTAAATGTTGATATGATTCATATGTGCCCTCACATCTCACCTTATTTTTAACTGTATTTCACCCTAAATTTATGTCAATGTGTCAGGGGCATATAAACAGAAAAATCCACTTGGTTATTTGTTCTCAAAGATATGAACTTCAATGAACACCAGCAGGTAGTGGACTATACTATTTAGCTGTAACTGTGATCAGGCTTGGTCGAGAGGAGCCTTACAGTACTACGATGTGAACCTGTGGGGAATTTATTAACTTAGCACTTTACTAACTGGTCAAGCACAGATTGAAGAGTAAGCTGGAGATGAGACTGGCTGCACATCGCTTAAAAAACCCAATAATATAGTAATTTTATAGCACAGAGAAAAAGCCTTCAGCACGTATGAATAGAACGCCTGCGTACTTGCCGAAAATATTGTCGATTAATTTTTGAGAATGAATGTGTACCTACACCTAAAATCATTATTCTATGCATTTACCTTTAAAAGAAATTAAAAGGAGGAGTAATTGTAAGGTATAACAACCAAGCACTTGCTTACATAAGAGTAAATGATGTAAACACCGTCAGTGTAACGAAAACCCAATACATTCAAGAGCACACTTTTTACTGAACTGAAATGTAGTCAGTGCTTTCTTCAGGCAAAATGATTGATTGTCTTAAATGCCACTCTTCACTGCAGCAAATAAAGCTTGCTATTAAATAATAAGCCATCTGTTTAGCCTGTGGGAAATTTCAGTCTTATTGGTTATAGCAGTTATGATAATCAACTATGACTGACTTGACGAATGTATATTTTTCATTCCAAAATCATGAGGTGGAATGTTTACATACCAAAAACTACTAGCATAAATGGTAAAACGTCAGGTATCTTCACAGGGATAATCTTATATTTACTGCATAACTACTGTAATTCAGTAATCCCATTAAAACAGTAACAACTAATCACTCAGACTAATCAATATTAATATATGTATGATCACTTAAGGAATAATCTACGAACATTAGAACAAGATATTTATTGTTTTGAAACGATTAAAGTTTAATCATTTATTATTTATAGATGCGGTTATAACTTTTTGGACAGAAAAACACCTTTTAACCTGTCAAGTTTGTTTACTTTCATGTCACTTTCCACCTCTTACCATATTGTTTTCACTTTCTTGTCCTTAAACTTCTGTCTACATCAATTAATCAAAAGCAACATCAAAAATAAAAAGAATGGGAACTAATCACTGTGTGACAAAATAGGAAACAATATAAAAATCTAGGAGTTCTACCACCTTATGTCGATATATACATCTTGACCACTACTGCTGCTTTTCTGACCCATGTGTGCAGCAGGAATTAATATTGAATAATGAAAAAGTTGAATTTCATATGCCAATGGATTGGGTCTTAGTGAATGAATGGTCTACAAGCTTGCCTTTTAACCGGGAGGTCCTGGATTCGACCCTCGGAGATTGTGAACTACTGAAGAGTCTCAAACTAGGAGGAGAAAACTACTCAGTACTTTTTGGTTTCCAGTGGTTCTTTAACTGACGTCATTTCGTGATCGAACTTGGAACAAATGAAATCCTTAAAAGCTAACTCCTGTAAAATAATGAAAGCAAATAAACAGGGTTTTTATTCCTTTGTTTTCTGAGTGGAACTAGCGGTTTCGAGCTTGAGCTTCGACGTTTCATTAGTAGTGGTTATTTTTCTTACACTATGGGCTGGTTAGACTCAGACCAAACCTGGGCTCTTTACACGTTTTACTACCAGCCGACGAGAGGCTTAGGGTTGCGCCAACTGGGGATCGAACTTAGAACGTGTGTTCGTGATTAGTGAAAAATTTAGAAAAGTAGTAACACCATCAAAACCTAATATGATAGACATCAGCATAGTTCTCTCTTTCATGATCCAAATGAACATGTTTGTTTTATTTCATTTCTTGCTCAATGTTCTATGGATAGTTATTTTATTGATACAAGTTTGAAACTGCTCACGCACGCACACACAAACGTAGGTACACATATTTAGACGTAAGATATTTCCATTGGATAAGATAGCAATAAAGTCAGTAGTTTTTTTCATTTGTTTCTAGTTGAAACAATCGATAATTATGCAGATTATTGAGTTCTCAGTTGATCACTGGTTTTGTTTTTCGTTGTATGAGTAGATGCAGATGTCGATATTACATATACGTTTATATTTGGAAATGAATAGGTGAAAAAAATGAAGGGAATTAAGGAATATAAGTAATACATTGCTGTTGATGGACACATTGTAAGACTTTTGTCCATAACTGAGTTATCTGCAAATTTTTTGACAGACAGAATAATATTATGCAAGTTCTTATAATATTCCCTACTCCTTTTCTTTCTTTCCTTTTATTCTCCTCTCGCGTACAAGAAAAAAGAAGTGATAAGAAAAATTATTGGGCTTAGTTAGTCGTGTGAGTGGAAAAAACTTCTTTTATCCCCTCAGTTTTCTTCAAAAAGAATGAGCATAAGGCGTAAGAATAAAACTCTTGTGACATATAGTGTGAAAAATTCCTTTTCTTCCTGTAATTTAGTTATACACATTACGTAATTACACTGAGACAAAAGTAATCTAATGATATAGCCTTGTCTAGTGGTAATATTTCATATTTATGAGCAGCTAATACTAATTCACTTCACATTACATAGGTTCCTCTCATACAATATTAACAATTGAATCATGTTTCGAGCCCATTTATTGCTTATACTGACATAATTGTGTGTTAACACGAATTACTAACTTTATATATTTTTAATTCTTGATTATTTTTGAACGTTTTCATAAATCCTTTATTGGTGATGTATCATTTCTATTTAGTGAATAACCTCTGTTTCCACCTAAGTATACTACTTTATAATATTTTTACCCTGTCTTATTATTCTCTTTGATTGCATGCGGGAGTACGCGTATCCACGACAGGGTATCTTTGCAGACTTATTTAACCACACGGGACACATCATTCTAGATATAGGTAGACCCATAAAATATTTTGATTGGACTCTAGTCAGTAGCTAGTGTAATGTGACTAGTCCTGTCTTTTGGTGCAGACTGAATTATGTCAGTCAAGTTTTCAATGTGGTTAACATGCTAGTTGGCTTGCCATCACGGTGCGCTATGAATTGTTGGCATTAGATGGTTGGAGGCAGTATGCAGGAAGCCTTGGGCCTAGGTTTCGTGCTAGTTGGCATTCGTCAGCAAGGCATATCTGAAACCTTGAAGGAACTCATGCTCCTTCTGAGATTCGAAATGGCGTCATGAGTTCCTTCAAGATTACAGATATGCCTTACTGACAAGTGCCAACTGGATACAGGCCCAAGGCGTCCTGCTGACTGCCTTTAACAATCTAATAGTAACATATTCCAGTGATATAACTTTTTTAGATCCACTGGTCAACCTAGATATTTGACCTCAGCATCATTACACGATATCTGTCTAAATAGGTTAGGCGGAGAAAGTTTGTCTTTGAGTGGGTATGTAGGTTTAAAAGCCATCGTGAATTCATTGTTATCATGAATCCTATGTAGTGTTTTAGATATCCCTTCTTAACATAATTATACTAAAATGTCTTCAAATTCCTAATGCGTCATTTTGTGACTATTATTTACATTAGCACAATTGTTCTTTCACACGAATCTTTATAAACTTTTGAACAGATTCTAGTAAATAATTCTTAAGTTGTGTTTTGATTCCATAAACACATAATGTTTAATGGAGTCAACAAACTGACCAATGAGTCAGAAAATTTAAATAAAGAAATCAGAAGAATAAAGCAACCATGACTACTAAATAATTATTAAGTGGAAAGGGAGTTTAGCTACTGAAATTATGTTAACTAAATCAGTGCCTAAATCGTACAAAAAAACGATGCGACATCAATTTCATTGAAAAATTGGAGCTAAATAACAGCACTACAAAACGAGTAAAAACAGTCCTATGGATAGATTGACATAATTATGCGCAATGAATTGTCCTCGAAATGTTGTCGAGCTAAAATTGCTGTATCACAGTGTGCTGTATCAAACAAACCTTTATCTGTATCTGGAATTATGTCAAACTATTATCCTTACGTCAGTTATTAAATATCTCCTGAGCAAAAGTATAAATATGCCAACCACAAGGCTTAAACAAGCCAATAGCCAACAAAGTCTATACTAGTCAACGAATTTAATCTTAGATCACGACTAAATATCACTAGGTATTATTGAGGTCTCTTATGAAATTAAGTAATCAGAGCTTGACCTGAAGCAGAATAGTATTAGAAATGAATAATGTCATATTGCACAGTGGTTTCAACGAAACAGTTTTCTCATAGCATACTCACTATTCACGTATTCTGATTTAGATGAGGAATGATTTTACAGCTGTCACAATCAAAACAAACAGTTTCAGATCAATTCGCAAACACTTGTGGCAATTTTCGTAGTCTTCAGTGACAGACAAATGAAGTCAATTATTCATCAGAATTATTATTACAATAATAAATAAATAGTATCAGTGGAACTCATAATTCTTGTAATCACTTACTTTGATCTTCTTCCAGGCCTAAATTTAAAATTGCCCGACGTATTGCTTCAACACTATTCACTCCTAGGAGATCACTTGTTTTATTTGAATACTTTGGACTACTGGTGTTTCCTCCACCACTTGATCTCTTCTTTGGAGAATGATGTGAGTAATCTTTACTTGATGATAATGCAAGTGACAATAGTGAACCAGTGATATCATTAACGGAAGAGGCATGCTGTAGTTCTTGAATGAATGTTTGTTCTGCACTTTGTGTTCTTGATATAAGTGACTGAGAAACCTGAAAAGTAATAGAATGTATCTCATTTAGTGATGCCTAACCAATTGTAAAATAATAAATCTATGAAATTGACATGTAGGAGACCACTTTGTTCAGTTCAAACTGTTTTATGTAATATAGACAAAAGAATTAATTAAGACCATCAGAAAACTTATTATGCTCTGCTTCTTATTAGTTGCACACCCACTCCGAAAGATAAGCAAATTAAGAAGCATGTTGCATTATGCTGCTAATTTATCCTTCATTGAGTGATCAACCGTTAACAAGTATACATCAGTGCAGAGTGGCCAAAATGTAAATTACATTATTTAATACAGACTTTCAAAATCACAAATCAGAGTGTTCGAAAATGAGACTTTTTCAAATAAAAACAATGTCTCGACTTGGTAACAAAATACACTGACGCAGTTGATTGCATAATCGCCAAACTTAATAATTCATAAAAAAGGTCAATAATAATTCAAGGATAAATAGACAGAATTTAAGAAATTCTCTGTCCTAATATTGTCAGATTCAGGACTTTAAAATTTTCAGGGATCTAGTACCCAGAAACTGGAAACTATCATTTACATGTATAAACACTTATGTATTTGTGTTTAATTTTTCAGATTTGAATTTATAAAGCTTGCGTCTTTCCATTTTAGACAATATAAAAGCTACCTTGTATAATATTTCATCCGCATTAATTGGTATTGATGTCATAAATGAGGAACATTTAAGCATTTTCAGTTTGACAAATTCTTTAGACAGTTATATCGAATCCTGGGCAAATTTCCTTTAGAAATAAATTACTCTGAAGTAATACATTTCATCATATAGCTTTGTACAGTTAAAGGCACTCGTAGGTAAGTGGTTTTGAAAATGTGGTGGATTCATTAGCAGTATTGGCTTTATACGTTCAAAATTATTGGGGTTACATTGAATGGATTTATTTAGTTAGAATATAGTCACTGACAATTTCATATCCTCAACTGGGCTTGAATTTACAGTAATGTACAGAGATTATTCAAAATGTAACTACTGCTTTTCTGCCAGACTTTATTACAAGTGGTTTTAAATCACTTACTTCAGAAATGATACACAAAGAGAAAAAAGTTAAGAAGAATGACTGAAATTACCAGAAGAAAAGCGGATGGATCACTTTCTTTTAACATTTCAATACAAAACTGAATAAGGCCAGTTGATTTGGTTAATAGTGAGGTAACTCGATTTATTTGATCCTTTAATGTATGAACTTTTTTCGCTCGCTCATCACGTAAGCGTTCTGTTAATTCTTGCTTTTTCGTCTCAATTGCAGCAATCAAACTATTCAACTGATCCATAAGTTCTTTTTCTGAATCTGCCAGATTTCTCTACAAAAATTCAAAAGAGAAGGAAATTAAAAAAGCTGTTACTAGAATTGAACAGAAACAATGTATAGTGAGATTCGAAATCTGTCTTAAGATTGGATATGCTGATCAGAGTTATCGGATAGTCCTAAATATTAACTGAAATACCCCAAGTGAAAAGTTTCCTGCTATGTTGCGTAATCAGTTACTCTCCTTTTCTTTGCAATAAAAGTAGAATCTGGACACTTACTAAGAATAGTTCTACCAGGCAATTATCTTGTTTGACAGAAACAAGCAGTGAAACGTTTCCATTCGTGTTTCCTCACCTGTCACATAGGTACATCAATCAACCAATACCATGCGGTTTAACTAGATTGACACTAAACAGATCATAATTGTATAACCACAGAATATGGTAGTATTTGGTAGGCGAAGTGTTTATTGACCAAAAGATGTAAAGATATGGCGAAGAAGAGATACCTCACAGTGAAATCTCCATTTGCACCTGTCCGTATTGTGTCTCTTTTGTCTACATTTTATGATTTCACTGTTGTTTCAAAAAGACCTTCCATGTCTCCTCTTCGCCGTTCAATCTATCTCACTAACATTTAGTATTTTGCACAACCTATACGCAATATACTAATTACACACTCTTGTCAGAAATACTGACCACAGTTGTAGTTGTATCATACTTCCTGAATTGCTGATTGAAAGTAGTAGATTAGCAAAAGTTCAGCGGCTGTTAAACTAAAGTAGATTGAAAAGAAGAACTCAAGTTTATTTTTATGAACCTTTACTGTCTAAATCTATTTTCAACGTCTTTTGTAAAAGCTTTTTAATTTACTAGTCAATTAATTTAATAAATATTTTAACTGACAACAATGTATACTAAAATACCAAAGTACTTCAAGTGTTTCACTGATAGGGGTTTACTGTTTTGCTTTAGTATGAACAATCACTTTCCTTACGTTCTTACATAGGCGGTTGGTAACTTAGAAGTCATAGAATTCAAATCCAAAGTTCCGCGATTTTGTTTTAGTAATAGTTTTCCGGCAAATTTCACTGTTCAAAACTAGAATGCCCTAATCATTGGAATACAACTCTTATTTACTACTTTATTCAGTCTGCTGATGTCCGATTACAGTACACGCGATTATTAAAAGCAGAGGAAAGAGTATCCTTTTTAAGAGAAAATTTAAATATTGTTCAGGTTTGATCTTATCTTGCTTTTATTTTGTTTTATATTCAGACTAAAAATAAATCTTAATTAGTTTTATGACTTTGATGTTCTTTTTTTACGGCTGAAAGTAATTCATGGTTATAAAGTGTTGCTGATTTGAAATTCCATATATGAAAAAAGTAACTTGCTATACTAATAAACCATTGTTATAAGTTAGAAATAAGTTTAAATTGCCTATTTTTATCAGACTACAACAGAACTGTTAATGTTTTTAATACTATGAGGAATGTGGTATTTCATAGTGAATGAAATTAACACCATTTCACCCCCAATTTAACCGAAATGAAGTCTGGTTTTTGTCAGTATTACTTTTTCATTGCCGAAGGGTATGTTTAGATATAAATTATGCGAGCGCTATCATGTTTATTGACGCAAAAACGTATTTTCTCCGACGAGTAAAGAGTTCTTATAAAATCAAATATTAATTAACAGGTGTGCTATCGTGAAAAGTTCTATGCGATTCGCCTCATTTTTATAAGTCGTTGTATACCAAATACATTGGGTTCAAAGTTATGGTTTTCACCGAATGAATAAAAAGTAAGTATAAAATTACATGAAGCGTTTCATGAATGCAAACAGAAAATGTCAGGCACATGTAATGATGTTTTAGGCAACTATTACTGTATCTTTTGAATATAGAAAAAGTATGTTCAAAAAGAACGAATCCAGCAGATCATATACTATGATCTAAAAACTATCTCTTTCTAAAGATAAATGTGATGATCTTTCTAATTTATAAATGGCGGATTCAATTCCATATACTATCAGTTAGCTCATGAATGTAGTTAGAATTCAGGTGGTTTGGACTGATTCGGTCCTCCGAGGTAGATCAAACCGATTATAGCACTGACGAGCTTATGTGAAAAAGACTGTCCGGTGTCTAAATGACTTCGATCTACCTGGGATGCACCATTGATTGATGTGAGTGAAGTTCAACTAATTATATCAGTCAATCAGTAGTGTTTGATTAAAAAACGTTGATTGGTCCATGAATTCATGATCCATATCAACCAGAGTATGGAAGATTTGACTATTATTATACTGCATCCACAATAAATGAACTTTTGGTAAAGTGAAATAAATTATGGGGAAATGCTAAGCGTTCAAATCCAGACTGCTATTAAATACCATTAAAAGTGATATCCAATTACTCATATCAATTAGTACTGCATTACAGTTATGATATGTAGTAATCACAGGAAACAGTAACAAGTATGTCAATCACTAAAGATATCCTGCACTTAGTTTGACATTGTATGATTTATTACCAATTTTAATTATTACATGCATTTCCGTTTAAATCACTCAATATAGATGAGGCCTGATCAACCATTTGTTGATGCAGTTAGACAGATTGAGCGTTTCTAATGGAAAATTGAGTAGACATACAATGAAATTATGCAAACGTATATTGGCAGTACTAGTTATACGAAGTGGTTTTATAGAACCTTACATTTGCTTTCCTAACTATTAAACAATAATTATCTTGAGCTTTCGTGTCCAAAAGTCTTGGTTACACTGCTCTAATTAAAATTTAATGAAGAGGATGACCTTATTCCTCTTTGGACGTTGAAAGGAAGATTTCGCTTTGAGGCAAGATATAAACTGAAAAGAATCAATAAGTTAAGCTTAATGTATCACCCACTAAAAGCATTCAAATTAGCCTGTATTTGCCTGAGGATAAAATGGTAAAATTACGGTTAAATTAGGAAATGTAGAGAAAAAATAAGTATAAGAACGTTGAAGTATTACTCTGATTATGTTTGATTATGCAGTTATTTGAGAAAATATGAAACAAAACAGCTGCATTTTGTATGATTACATAAACGTTAACTGCATCTAAACTGATACGAATCCATTTTTAATGGTCAGAAAGTTTGGGGTAGTTGAATCTTCGTATGTGATAAAAAAACTTTAGAAATCATTGGATGTATCAGACGTTTGTCGTAGGAGTTAGGATGACTTTTATGTATCATCCATCATCACATAATTTTACTAAACCTTTGTCAAAAACAGTGTATCACACTGACAAGCGGAAATTAAAAGTGACTGTCGCAATCAATAACAATAGTTCTAAGCGTCTATCACTTTTAAACAAGTTTACTTCACTACGTTGGTTTACCGAGAATTAAAAGATATTTTCTTCAGTTACTGTGATCAGTGCCTCTCATTCTTTTGTTTGCACAACTAAACACGCTAATTATAATATATGTTGAGTCCCGATTAAGACATGTGTATCCGAAGATATGTTTGGCAAAATTAGTGAACTACTTTACTCTACAATGACACTGTTCCTGTACCACGAGTTTCATCCCAGAATTCGATGTTGTATAATTTCCTCCAATTAGAACTTCTAAAAAACTGATATTTTAAAAAACCATATACATATGCGTTGGCGGTTCAGTGGTGAGGAGCTCGCCGATCACACATATGATCCGGTTTCAATTACTGTCAGACACACTACCAAACACTGCTAGCTGATAGTAAGCCTGGTTAAGAAAAAAGGCTGAGGATGAAGCTACTAACCTCACCCCATACAAAAAAGCACCACTACTGAAACCTCAAAGCCCTGTCTTCTACTCGGAACGTAACGTGTATATATATATATATAACAGTGATTCTTCTCCACATTTCCCTCACATGAATTCTGTATGTTATCTCTTTTAATAGTAACCATTTACGTAGAGGCAGTGGGAAATGTTACAGATTGTATGAAGAATAATTCTTTGCACATAGGTGACAATATTTGTAATGATCAATTTATCACCAGTATACAGTAGGTTTGTAGACTGATTGTTTACTAAATTTATCAGCCATTGATTTACGATTAGCAACGTTAGTGAAAAACTTTGATATGGAGATAACTTGTTAGGTGAGTCAATCAATAGGATTTTCTGACTCTAGATTCTATACTTATTGGTTCTCGTCAGCAAGTCGTACCTATCACTTTAAAAAAAGCTGATGTCGCTACAAGAACTCAAAACATCTAGTAACAATTCAAAATACAATGCATGTATCTCAGTTTGATTATATTATATTACAAACTAAGCTGACTCAAATCATTCAGCACCACTAATAGCATACCACTAGACATTGGTTACACTGAAGCGATCAACAGAGGGAGATGATTTATTTCACAGATTTTGGCTTCCCAGTGAGAATTCATTTATAGTAAATATAAATTAAATTAGGTAATCTAGTCTTATTCGTTAATCATCATTACCGATTATCTTGTTTATTGATGCTATGATTCCAGTTTCCAAATTTGCGAATATTACGCAATGTTGTATAGCATTTTGAAAAAATGTAAAAGTTACCGGTTAACCAAAACATATTTTCATGTTTGACAGATTTTATCCCAATTCCTTATGTAAACGAACATGATCTAATCCGCTTTTCATATCTTGGTTTTAACTTGCTTCTATTTGAAAATTGATAGTTCATAAGTGAACATGTAGGTATATAATAACTTTGGTTGCATCAAGACATCTGAAACAATGTACAAGACCTTCCAAATCATGCATTTTGTTTTGTGTAACTGGTGAAATTAATTCCTGAATATATAGATCCGCATCACCCTATGGAAGAATCTGAATGATAATCAAAGCTGACATTTTCATTCTGAGAAATGATAAGGTACCCTGTGATAGTTGACGGTATAAGAATCGTTGTGTAGTCACTCGGAAGAGAATACGACCACGAGTGAACTAATGTATCAACACATTTGTTCTTGTCTTTTTGAATAGCCTAGTAACAGTTCACATGCCACCACTCCCCTCTAATAATACAAATTCACAGTATTTTCAGGAGCACATAAAGTTAGTAGTTTATTTGATAACCTTTTATTTCATCATATTAAATGAAGTTACCCCCTCAAAGTGAATCTCCTCAGTTGATAGTCCATCCACATTCAATCGTAGTTCTATTAGTTGAGTGTTTATTATTCCAATCACTTGTTCACAGTTTAATTCCCGAAAAAAGCGTGATTACACATGAAGTTAAGTATTCTGTATTTTTTATGTTTTATTACTCCTTTATTAGCTACTTTACAGTTTAAATCAGTTATTCAAAGTAGAAAACATTTCTCATTGATATTTTCACTCATAAATCTGTTATTTATTTATCTAATTCAATCCTTCTATTCAATAAATAAAATATGGCTATCTAGTCACATTAATATTTCATCATACAATCAATTCTCATTTATAGAGTGGACTGTGTTGATAGATGAAATAAGTGACAGATATGTTTTTTTTATCCTCCATTTCATGTGTTATCAACAACATGCGTTTTATGCTGTTTTTATAACTAACTAATATATACATATATATATGTTTTATTCGATAAATCAGTTTAGACAGAATTAATATCTAATATAAAAATTGAGGATATAAACCCTAAAGTTTTCTAATAAAAAATTACTTCGTCACGAATCAGACATAGTGTATCAAATGATCAAATCTAAGTTAGTATCTACATGCTTTATTCTTGTCCAGAATTATTTTATCATTAAAGTCTGTTTGTATTCTAGTTGCTTATTCAAATAAAAATAAAATAAAACCGTAAGTTTTTTGTTTAATTCATAGCAAAGTATAGTATAATAATCTTATTAAGGAGTTGTATGTGATATTTTTCTTAATAAGACGCGAATTATTCAAACATCATAACTAGTGGTTTATTCTAATCATCTGGGTGTCAAGTAGTATTCGGTGACAATTTTGTATGCACATTAAAAATCCACGTCAAATCCCGGAAAGCACTAAGAAGTTTCCGTACTTGTTTTTACTTTATTTTTCATGATTCAACAACAGAAGAGCAGTGTTTGATGCGAACTCTAATCAGGATTTCACTGAATAGTCCCACAAACATTGGACATCGAATGAAATGTAGACATATATGTAAAAATTATTTTTTCTTATTAATCAGCGAAATTCGAATAAATAATTCCAAAGTTTCGTTCAACAGATTGGTTGAGACTACTTCAGGGATTAGTAACAATTAAAATATCACAGTTATTTGTAAAATAAACATTGAATGCATACACTTTAATGGATACTTTATCACTGACTGAAAATTATCAACCTGATGAGCGAGTTTCACAGATTGTTCAATATTACAAATGTTATTATTTTATGCAACTTATTAGCGACTTCAATGACTACTACTATTATACAGAAAATAATAAAAACTAACTGGCAGATAAATTATGTGCTTTGAATTCCTTTTCAACAGGCATCTTAACGGGTGACCCTTGTAAACTGATCTCTTTTGACGATTTACTTGCTAGATCATACTGAATTAATGTTTCCTACATAAATGGTATCACAAAACGCCTCAGACTATGTGTAAGTGATATTTTGTTGGCTCTACATATATGTCTATCAGCATATCTGTTAGTCAAGTAAGTTGGATTTTGCAAGTTACAATTGATACAGCTTACTACTTCTACATTTTAACGGAACAGGTCTTTTTTCATGCCTTTCGTGTTCTTTTAGTTTAATTATCTAGTCAAGAAAGAACATTTCTAGAGTAAAAGCAGCTCATTTGTCTCTTATTTTATGGCTTTCCTTAAGCTTCCAATAGCCTAGAAACAGTATAAGTTATATATTTACACTTACAATAACATACTTTTACTTCAACTTAGAAAGTATAATAAAAGAACAAGAGATCTGAATACAAGATAGTTAATTATCTAATAGCCACAATTGATTAATTACTCTGTATTCATATCACGTTTTTATGATATTAAACCTGACAATGAGGATTAAAAATAACTCACTTTTACAGTTTCCGATTTAGACCTCAGACGTTGTATGTGTTCTGTAGCCGATCGAGCCCTTTCTGAAAGAGCCTGAAGTGATTGCGATAGTTCAGTCTAAAAATATTTAAAAAGAAACATTGAAAGATCATTAATACCATGCTCTTTAAAAATTGAAATATCAGCTGACTTTATGCTGATCAAGTGTGAATTTTATTAAAAAGTGTAAGCATCATTTAAGATTTCAGAGTATGTCGTGACATAAAAGCACAATAACACTTTGTAGAGATAAACTTATTTAGAATAATGCTGTATTAAAATCACCAATAGTTAAACATGGCCATATTCTGATTCTTTCTAATTATACGGCTATACTGCTATTTGACATCTGAACAGGTATTAGAATTAAAACGATGAGATTTTGCGGTTTTCTTTTGAGTTAATTAATTCACACAGCCTACTGGCGCAGTGCTGCATAAATGCTAATAAGAAGTTTAGATTGGAATATTAGTCTTATGTGAACCTACGTTCATGTCTGTAATGCAAAGGGGTCACTTTGATACCTACTTGGACCTATGTTACCATTTTAAATATATTCACCATTCAGACACGCGGACACAAATTGTTGTTCTTAACATCTTAAGACTTTCAGAACATTTGATCATGAATTCGACAAATTAACCTTTCATGGTAAGCACATGTATTCATCGTCCATCTAATAATAAAATATGTTTCCCGGGTTTTCGTAGTGATATCAGTTAAAGAGACATAGAGTACGATTTTTAAGATTGTGAGCTGTAATAAGTCACAGTGGATGCTCACAATGACATTAATTTATCACGTAATGGTAACCAGTAACAGTCCGCTTATTTTCAAAGAATTTACATACGTACATGATGTCAACCTTGTAACTTTTATAGTTCTCATCTTCATATTGCATAAACGTTACCTGTCAATAAAGTGGAAAGTCGTTTCACATACTTTTTATTTTGTAAATCATGTCGGCATTTTTTCTATTAAAGCCTTTTACCTACTGTTAAACTTGGCGAAGTATTTTTGTTGTAGAAAAGTCTACTCAAAATCTGGCAACAGATATTATGCAGTCAACCATTCTACGCTAACGTTATCCTCTTGCTTATTTTACTCTGCTGTCCTTAATTAACCCAAGTGCTCACGAATGGTCTGAAGTTGGAATTCAGTCAAGTAAGATGATTCATCAAAAACACTATTGTTATTCAAATAGCTATTACATCTGACCTTTCAATATGTTGTTTTTTATTATTATTTTATTTCCATTTATGACCTTAAAGAAAAATAATACCATTTTAGCATAAAAACAAGATATTTGTCCACCAGTCTAATCTATTCTTAATTGATTTGATTGTTTTGCCATAAGAGTTTCAGCTATTCTTTTGCCATTACTGTTGTCTCTATGATAGAAAAGTTATAAACATAAAAGACAACCAGAAAAGCTCCTCAATTGTAGTAAATGTTCTTTGCGTACAACTGATACCTTTATCAGAGATCACGGTAGTTAGATAATTAAAAAAATATTTCATCTATACTTTGACATTTGTTCACTTGGAATGCTATCTTTCTAGGAATCTTTCTTTGAACATTAGAGTGTATCCTTTAAGAACAGAACATAGGAAACAACCATTCAGTTTTGTTTAAACCTTACAATCCATTATCAGTCTATTGACCAAAACTCTCTACTTAGACTAAATAATATAGATGAGAATCAACTTGGTATGTTTTCCCAATCACTTCGCTCTTTCTCCTTCACTGTTTTCAAGTAACTTTTGATGAATCCATGAAGTATTTCCGAAAAATATGTTTAAATTCAAAGCATTGTTAACCAATACTTGGGATTATAGTAGAAGACAAATTCAGTACTCTAAGCATAAAGAGTTTTATTTACTTTGCTCTTCAAAAATTAAGAAATGACTATTTATTTTCCTCTGCAAACGTTCAAGTATCTGTTTGCATGTGGAAATTCAGACTTAATACTCATTTTTTTCATATGGTCCACGTTTAATCATAGGATCTACAGAAAATATCATCTAAGGATTAGTTTTCCAACACGCAAAGATTTACAGAACAATCATTTGACACCGTTTGTTAAGAAGAAACTGTATTTCATTCCTTTTCAGTTGAGTTTTGATCAGTTTGTTTGTTTGGCGACTGATAGAGGATTCAAAGATGCCTTTATTGTTTTTAATTTAATAAATGATATATAAAACAATGTTGTACCTCCTACAGTGATTGTATTCTCACTCAAAACGAGTCCAGTAACATCCATTTTTAGAAGCCTTGGAGCTACTTAGTAGTCTGCTGTGACTGAATAAGACAATCTCTAGTTTCATGCATACATCTACTCAACAGAAGATTTCGGTGAACCAAATGAACAGTCTATAGAATCGATGTAACAGTTTACTGTTTAATTTGTGAAGGAGGAAGATAAATTTAGCTCACATATGCCTCGAAAATTAAAAAGTATCGGTAAATTCTGACTTACCTGATTTTCTGAGGTTGACACACTCAAAGCTTGTGCATTTACCACAGGTGTGGCAACCGAAATGAAAGTAGATATGAAATGTCACACGTTCTATCTGTTTTTCAGTTTATTCATGAAAAATCATTATGAATAAAATCAATAAAAAGTGAACGTAAAGCACAGATAAAAAAATTATCACCTGGTGATCAGCACTGCTGCTTATCAGACAGAGAGGAAACAACCATCTTAAGATCAAGTTCATTAAAAAAGACACTGTGAAAGTTTTATAGAGTATAATTAATACCTTATAGAATGTGATTATTTTCAGAAGAATACTAGTAAGTGTTTACATGACACTGACGTCAATGTGTAACACGCAAGATGATAATAATTTTGATTTTTCAAATGCATTTTGGCTATATTTAGATTTACATCTTTACATTTCAATGGAAACAAGTCTATTTTCCCTATGTCTACGTTAAAAGCGTTTCTAGTTAATCAATTATAAATGGTACCATGATCAAATGACCGTGAATCGGAGGCAGTGAAATCGAAAATATTCATTCCAAGCTCTTCCGAAAAAGAAGGTGGGAATATTGAAATTTATGGTTATTTTTGTGAAGAAAAATTTACGACTTTCAAAGAAATAATACTACAAAGATTGAATTTATAATCACAGTTATTTTAATGGATAGTATGTAGTGTTATACGTCTGGTCCTTTGGTTGGTGGGAAATGAATTCTTTTAGTCAGGTTAGCAATGTGCTTGACATTCTAGGTGGCTCACCATCACCCTACACTCTGCATTGTTTCTATTAGATACTTGGAGGTTATGGGCAGGAATCCTTTCAACTGGGTCTACGTGTTTGTTGTCAATCGTCAGCAAGGTGTATCTGCACTCTTGCAGGAACTCATGCATGTTTAAACGAATCTTGAGCTAAATGTCCTAAAGAAGTGGACTGTATTTTGGTATTCCAAAGTTTAGTTGAGAAAGATTTCATAGTCCTTTTGACTTATCTTTGCAGTTTGTTTGTGATGCTGAAAGGGTAAATGTTCCATAATAAACGCTCCATATGTTTCCAGTCGACATTTACAGCACACAAAATAGTTTAAAAATAATACTCTTAAATAACAGCTGTGAATATTTTAGGCTTATTTTTATTTGGCATAGCAAACTAGTATTGGTTGGTAGATGTTTCGACTTGTGGGAAAATTAATAACGACTGGCGATTGCTAAAAATTTTGAAGTATGAATTTATTAGGAATCCGAATAGCTTATTCTTGATCAATCATACATACTTTTGCATCATTTTTATATTTAAGTGTTCAAGTGCCTAATTCGCATCAAATGCAGTAGATGGGGATTAATTTTAATGGTTAACTGTTGAAGGGAATTTCAGTTTCTAAAATAATACACAGTGAAGACTGATATATACATTTTAAATTAAAGTCTGACAAATAAAAATACATATGCGTTGCTTCTAGATTAAAGACTAGCTTTCCTGTTCACTAAGATATGCGAACTAGTGGGCTGCTGGTAAATTAGTGTTTGCTGATGTATTCTTCTATGTATCACAATTCATGGCATGACATTTTTTCCACTGAATGTTTATAAAATAAGATCACTAGCTATGAATTTAAAGTCGAATAACATAAAAATATGTATATATAAGTTAAAATGAATCATGGTATTGTCATCATTATTCATTGAACTATTCGTTGAATAAATAGCAGGTGATATAAATAATCTAAATGTTTATGCCTATGTCTATAAAGGTAATAAATAGTATTGTTTCTACCGTATATTCTGAAAGAGACTGTGACTGTTTTGTTTTTGTTAAAGCCGTTGTTATTTTTTCCATTGAAATGCTTATGAACTAAATGGAAGACATGAAAAAGAAAATTGTGCTGTATATACGAATAGAAACTGAAGCAGTAAAAAGTGTGCAAGTGCTGGAATGATATTATGGCCTGAACACCCATATATAATATATATATATGATCCATTTGACAGAATACCTTCACGACACATGTTACATTCATTTTAATCATAGAATAATTGTGCTTTCAGACGATTTCCAAAAATTACTTATTTCAGTGAATAAATCAAACTGCTTTGTGTAATCCTGACTACTGCACTTCAGTATGTCTGTGTGTGGGCATGAGACGTATATTGTTGACAATAATGATGACGTATATATCAACAAGTTCACTTAGAGAGTCGTTTTTTGGGCAGTTAAGAAATTCCCTTGAAATTTGAATAAATGATTCCTTCTAATACGGTTAATATATACGTATATATATGTATATTCACTCTTTCATGAGTTGTATAATTAGCACAGTTATTTTTCCAGTTTTACTCGGTAATAAAAGGCGCATCACATAACAGTTTCTCTAATTGTGGCCTAATCTTCTTTCATTCCTTCACTCAGATTCTATCAGCTTGAGGAAAGATATAGCCATTGACCTTTATTCAATAAACAAAATTGAAATAAATGGAATTGCGCGAATTGTCTGATGACCCGTAAAAGAAACAATGAATTAATTTATTTATTCAGTTGGTATTTTTATGAATGACATCCGTGTTTATAATAATGTTATCACTTTTCATTATCACATGT